TGGGGACGTTCTCCTGACTCTGAGGTCTCCTCCTCGTGTGGCCCTTCGGATATAGATATTACTTGTCATGAACCCCCTGGCTGCCGCCAACATTCACAGCAGCATGCTGCTCCTATGTTTCACATACTTTCTGCCACGAGCTACAGTTTTTCTCCTAAAAACGACAAATGACATTACATTTTGAATTATGAGCCATGCCTTAGGAATTTTTTCACTATCTGCTCTGTTTACCCAGTTACACCTGCTGGCTCGTGTTAACTGACATCACCACATGTGAGTGTATTACTCGAAACAAGCGAGTAGTCGCCTACAATTATGTCAACGACTTTGTTGAAATGTTCGGCCGTGCCGATGCATTTCTTAACTACTATGTACCAGTAGGGAGTTCAAAGGCGTTTGCCTGTATTTCTCTTCATAAACTTGACTTGACTTGACAATGTCCACTACGCGCTTCAGCAAGCTGAAGCAACGCAGTGACTGTGGCTGGATTACAATGAAAGTAGACTCGCAGACAATCTACCCCACTCTCAGCACTCCCAAACCGGACCCAGTGTCCAGACTAAAATCAAGAAGACCGGAGATGAGGGGCGCAGGTGGCTGGCGCGACCAACACACAACACACGTACCAACAGCACGCCTCGCTAGGTAGGCTTCCGCCTGGCAGCGCCATAAAGGCCACATTAAGAAGGAGCCATTAAGCCTGACTCTCAGATTAGTCTGCCAGATTGTAAATGTCAGACAGAGTGGGCAAGCGGCTTTTGGAATTAAGCCGCCATTTTCTTCTGCCCTCCACTCGCATGTAAGGTTTCTTACATGTGCATTGTTTGGCCTATTTTGTTTATTACATGCGGATTCCTACTCCCCTTTTTGTTTATTCGAAGTAGAACCATGAGGTCATCTGCACGCACACTACGCTAGCACCGTCTTGAAGGAAAACAACTCCTAAGTAATTTTTGCGACTTATTCACCAGTGATAGTTCATGGTCTTCATGGGGCAGTCTTCAATCCTTATGCATCATTTGTCACCTCTTCGGGTATTGTGCGATTTGCGTACCCAATTTAATTCGCGGTAACTGGAGGACTTTTGGCTAAAAAGGTTGTCAAGGTATTTTCAAAAGAAAGCGTACCACCATCTCTTTCGGCAGTTTCATCGTGATATGATCTATAATCGAGTAACATTTTGAAATTGAACCGCCGCATTTTTTGTTCTGCTCTTTATCCGCGTGTACATTTCCCTGCATGTACATCGGTTGGCCTGAACTTGTACTTGTTACGGCTGCGATCATGACTGACCTAGCCGGCCTCAATTATGTTCCGTATGGTGCTTCTCCGGGCGCGACGATCCGTGGCTGCAGACCTGGACAGTTCGAGCCATTCTCTTCGCCTGCGCCGGAGACCGAACACCGAAGGTCCAAGAACCACTTCCATGTCCTGACAGACTGATTCGAGCCAGGTTTTGAGTTGATCCGCCCCCCCCCTTCGGCGTTTCCAATTAGGCAACGGTTTCAAGTAGAGGGCAGTAGCACTGCGTTCTTGAGGTTGGCGACCAAGAAAGTGTCCGAACCACCTCAGCCGTCTTTCTTGAATGGCCTGGGCTATTCTTGTGGTTTTGTCATTGCGAGTGCGGACGGTCTCATTTGAGACGAAGTCTTTGTACTTCACTCGAAGGATGCTCCTCAGACAGCAGTGGTCAAAGACTTCCAGCTTCCGTTCATCCTCTACGTGCATTGCTCAATATTCGCATCCGTAAAGGAGAACGGACCGCACAGATGCTCGGTACACGCGGATCTTTATTGAGATAGAACTATCGCGTCGGGCCCATAAGAACTTTCGAAGGCTGGAGACCACTCGTCGTGCCGCATAATTCGGGAGATAGTG